CTGGAGGGGATGAGACTGGTTGACCCGGGATTTGGAACCCTGCAAGCTGGAGGATCCTCACCCACTCCCTGAAATCGGAATGTACACTCGGCCGGCAGTCCCCGCTCGGGAGACCTCTTCCAGAGCGCAGCCGTGAGCGGGCACGTGGTACGTAGACCCTCTGGGCGCATGCGTATTGGCGCCCACTTCCGGCCTCGTTTAAGCCCTCCAGGTGGTGCACCGCCTGCGCAGGGACCGGCTTCCTGGGTGAGTTCCCTCCTCCCGAAACCCTCCGGTTCTCCGGGCCTGCGCGACCTGCCTCTCTCCAGTCCCTCCTCGCCCTCCAGGTGTGCGGCCAGAACCAGGAGTAGCAGGTTAGGCCCGCTAGTGTTGGTTACTTGTGGGAAAGTGACTAGGAACTGTGTGGTAAATAAGGGTTGATTGGTAAGGTTTGTTACACAAATGGGAGTTGTTTTCCCTTCCATGATAGAGGAGGAGAAGAAATACTTTTATAAATGCAAATTTCTGTAACCTTTACAAAGGTTTTAAGCCAAAAGGAAGGCGGAGAGTTCTTTGTGTGTCTGCTGTTTCTCAGCTGCTTTCAGCTCAAAGTAATCCTTCTGTCAAAATGGCATATTCTGACCCCCTTCGCGCTCTTCCCGTTATTAGCAACCCCTTTCCTGCTCCTCCCATGGATAATCACTGGCCTGACTTTCATCCTCATTGTTTTGTTTCAGCTGGTTTTTAAATGTATATAAATGGAAACATACAATCTATATGCTTTTGTACCTAGATTTTTCTCTTAGTAACATATTTTATTATGTTTATGATAATCATCCATGTTAATGGATGTAGCTGTAGACCACCCATGCTCACGGCTTCATACGGGTCTGTTTTTTAAGAGTACCACAACCTCTTTATCAAGTCCAACACTTAATGGGTATGAGGTAGTTTCCCGTATTGGAATAGTATAAGTGGTGCTGTTACGAAAATTACTGTATATGTCATTTGATGAATATGTATGTATTTGTTAGGTATATACTCAGGAGTGAGGAATTGTTGAATCATAAGATACGAGTATAAACAGCTTTAGTAAATATTGCCAAGTAGATGCAGCATGTGAATTCTGAATGTTCTATATATTTATAAACACTTGGTATTTTCTTCATTTTTAAAATTTTATTTATTATGGTAGGTGTGTAGTGGTATTGCAGTGTGTCTTTGATTTGATTTTCCTGTCTCGATGATGAGCTTCTTTTCATAGGTTTGTTTACTGTTTGGATATCCTCTTTTGTAAAGTTCAACCCTTTTGCCCTTTTTACCATTAGGTTGTTTGTTATTGATTTTGAGAGATATGTGCATTAAAAAGGTCTTACTTTGTGGTTTGAATTTTTACAAAAAAAAAAAAAAATCATAAAGCTGAGCTATTACTAGGATAAATGATCTAAAACATCACAAGTACCTAAAAGTCAAATATGCACAGATGCCATAATGCAAAAGTATTAATTCTACCTAGATAAAGCCCCTCTGGGCTGGGACTAGAGTTAACACCCACGTCAGAACAAGAGACGTGGCTCCGACTGTTGAAGATGTGCAGCTGTATACAAGGTCCTGCACAAACCGGGGTACGTGAAGGGTAGCTTAGTCAAAAAATTGGGAACATTAAAAATATCACCAACTGATGGGGAGAAGCTACACGGAAGCCTGCCATCTGCCTGGGGGTGGTTCTGGGTAGAAAAACAAAGTTAACGGATTCCTCAAGCCAGCATTGCATGCTTGTGGGGTCCAAATTTACAGCACCACATGGTGTAGGAATCTCAAGCCAAAAGTTCCCATAAAAATGGCCAATGTCTGGGGTCCTGGAGAAGCACATGTAAAACTACCCTACAAGGGACTTCTGTGTCTGCCCACAAAGGATTACTGTTATGGAAATTGTCCTCCCACCATAAACAACTAGAAAACCAGGCAAAATATATGGGGGGAAAACTGTTTTAAAAAGGGCACTGGCGGGGTGCCTGGGTGGCTCAGATGGTTAAGCGTCTGCCTTCGGCTCAGGTCATGATCCCAGCGTCCTGGGATCGAGTCCCACATCGGGCTCCCTGCTCCTTGGGAGCCTGCTTCTCCCTCTGCCTCTCTCTCTCTCTGTCTCTCATGAATAAATAAATAAAATCTTTAAAAAAAAAAAAAAAAAAAAAGAAAGGGCACTGGCAGGGCGCCTGGATGGCTCAGTCATTAAGCATCTGCCTTCGACTCAGGTCATGATCCCAGGGTCCTGGAATCGAGTCCCACATCGGGCTCCCTGCTCAGTGGGAAGCCTTCTTCTTCCTCTCCCGCTCCCCCTGCTTGTGTTCCCTCTGTCGCTGTGTCTCTCTCTGTCAAATAAATAAAATAAAATAAAATAAAATAAAATAAAATAGCACTGGCATGCAGACACAGAGAACTATGAGCCCTGAGAGAAAAAGAAATCAAAATGAGAGACCTGAGAGTGTGGCCCTGGACAGAGTGTTCAGGCTGCAGTTCAACCAGTGGGAACCCAAACGGAACCTGCTGGTCTCATTGAGCTGAAGGGACAAGAGACTGAAGTTCAAAGAGGCCAAGGCGGCTAGAATTTGTGGGGAAAAGTCTAGGGAGAAGCCAGTGGCACGGAGGAGCCGTGCTGGATAGCTGCGGACAGGTCTCTGGTGGGGCACTGCTCTGTGGGTGCTGAGGAGAGAACCGGTGGGAAGCAGTAGGTCAGTCCTCGGGGCTCATGCAGGCTGGGAACAGTTCTCCCTCCCACCAGCCTGCATGAAAAGACTTTGTAATAGGTGGAACATCAGGGAGAGTCCTCAGAAGTTTCTCACCTTAGTAGCAGGGCTAAATTAACCCTAGACTAAAAGCTGCTCTTGACCCACCCTAATAAAAGGCAAAAGCAAAAAGGATCAAATATCTGTAATAACCTACAGGTGTGTCAGAACCAAGTGCAGCACATTTTAAATGGACGCATTATCCAACAGTGTAAAATTCATTATAGAAATTTTCAATAAAAAAGGCATACCAAGAAGCAAGAAAATATGACTAACAACCAGGAGAAAAGTCCATTTAAGATAAATAAGTCCTGGGGATGTAATGTATAGCATGGTGACTGTAGCTAATAATACGGCATTATATCTTTGAAAGTTGCTAAGTAGATCTTAAAAGTTCTCATCACTCAAAAAAAAATTGTAACTGTGTGAGGTGATGGATGTTAACTAACTTTATTGCGGTAATCATTTCACAATATATGCATGTCAAATCATCATGTTGTATACCTAAAACTAATACTATGTTATATGTCAATTATATCTCAATTAAACTGGAAAAATACTTTGTACACAAACATTATGGGATTATCAAGAATAATTCAATACTAATTTAATATTGTTGGAGCAGATAATGAAAATTCAAAATAAATTTTTGTAATTTTAACACTATGTAATCCCAACATCAAATGTAATCATAATTTCAAGAAAAGATGCTTGAGTAGCTTTTGAAATATGATAAGCTATGTGTAAATCAGTAATTTGTTGGTGGATTGTAGTTATATAACTTGAAATGTCATTAGTATTGTTTTATAATCATTAACCTAAGTTAGCAGATCTCTATAATAAAATAATACAGACTTGGGGGACAAAAAGAGAAGTACATTAATAAAAACAAAACCCAGGGCACCTGGGTGGCTCAGTTGGTTAAGCGGCTGCCTTCGGCTCAGGTCATGATCCTGGAGTCCCTGGATCGAGTCCCACATTGGGCTCCCTGCTCGGCAGGGAGTCTGCTTCTCCCTCTGACCCTCCCCCCTCTCATGTGCTCTCTCTCTCATTCTCTCTCTCTCAAATAAATAAATAAAATCTTTAAAAATAAAAAAAAATAAAACAAAACCCAGAAATGACAAAGATAATAGAATTAGCAGGCATGGACCTTAAAACATCTGTTATAACTATATTCTGTATTTTCAAGAAGCCAGAGGAAAGATTGGATATATTAAGTAGAGACAGAAGAATACCCTGGCATGCCATAATAAATTTGGTGGAGAACATTGATCAAGACAAAATTTTAAAAGCAGCCAGGGAGAAAAAGATATCACATTCAAAAGCAAGAATAACAAAAAACTTCTCAGGACAAACTATAGAAGTCAGAGGACCTTGGAGCAAAATCTTTAAAGTGCCAATGGAAAGCAAGCCAAAAATCCCTCAACCTAGCATTCTTGGGCGCCTGGGTGGCTCAGTTGGTTAAGCGACTGCCTTTGGCTCAGGTCATGATCCTGGAGTCCCGGGATCAAGTCCCATATCGGGCTCCTTGCTCAGCAGGGGTCTGCTTCTCCCTCTGCCCCTCCCCCCTCTCATGTGCTCGCTCTCTCTCTCATTCTCTCTCTCAAATAAATAAATAAAATCTTTAAAAAAAAAAAACAACCTAGCATTCTCTACCTGCAGAAAATACCATTCAAAAATGAAGGCGACATAAAGACTTTATGCGACAAGCTAAAGCTGAGAGATCTACTACCAGCGGAACTCTCTCTGCTCTCAGACTTCTGTCAGTGCAGGCACCCCCGCCTTGGGAGCTTCCCCCAGTCCAGTCCCCGTTCATCAGAACGTCCCAGGAGATGTGTCTCTTCCTCACACACCCAAAACCAGGGACCACCACTGTGACAAGAGGAGCTTTTTGTTTCTCTGAAAAGAAAACTGTGCTGAGCGAGAAGAGAAGCATATGAATATTGCTGGAATGGAATCAAGAAATCTTAAATCCTCCTCTCAGGAGAAAGTTTCAGCAGTGTTGAAAGTAAAGATGAAGAAACGATGACAATGAAAAAAGTTATTTGTTTCCTTCTCAAAACTGAAGGAGAGGGCAATTACCTATAACTTTTATATATTAATAAAAATATAAGCTGTCATTTTTTTCTACTCATTCATTCATCAACAAATATTGACTTAGCACTGGTTTGCTCCAGGCCCTGTTCCTCACAGGCTCCTCCACACAACAGGCTGACCCGCAATAGTGGGTAGAGCACACTCAGACTCTAAAATCCCCGCCTTCTCCCCAGGTTTATGTCCAGCAACAGTGGAAAATCACGGGCAGCTTTGACCTCTGCACAGACTCTGCCAGAAGTCATGGAACTGAACTGGGGTGAGAATTGTGTTTTTCCATCTCTCTGGACCAGGAATGAGGCAAGATGAGAGTTTCTCAGTGTGTGGGCAGCAAGGCAATGAGGGGAAGAAAGGGGAAGGAAAAGAGACTATTTTTTTGGCTTCTATGCATCAACTTCACGTCTATAAGAATTAGACAATTTTGTGTAAACACTTTCAGTTGGACTTCTTCTCAGTCTTACATTTCTCCAGGCTTTTAATACTAATGTTTCTTATCTAGGCTACATTATGGTTATTAACATTTCAAAAATTTGCTGCATGCTTCTAATGCTACATGAAAGAAGGCTATTGCCTTAAAATATGAGGCACCAAGAATAGAAAAGCTGTAAGCAAAAATATAACAATAAGCTTGTCGCTAGAGTGATAAAAAATTTTATTTGTATTTTAAAATACGGTCATGCTCAAATCACTCTCTCTTATAAAACAGAGACATTTGGTTGTGATGTCCTGGTTCTGCTAAAATTTGAGTCAATGGCGTTTGAACAACTTTTATGTAGAAGCAGATTGATTTCTGGCAGAGCAGAGATGCAGAGCCAATTTGTCCCATTTCCACTCTACCTTAATAATATGAAACTAAAATAAAGGGAAAAGTTTAAAGCTGAAAATTTTCAGTAGGTGTTCAGATTGCTGTTGATAAATAATTTGAAGCAAAATAAGTCAAGATACTAGGAAAAGTTTAAAAAATTGAAACACATTACTTGAAATGTTATTATAGTGGTATGTTATAGGGATATAGTTGAATATAATTATTATATTATTTATATACTGTATAGAGATATAGTATATATTTATATATTGTATTATGGATTATTTAGAGATACAGTTGTATATTATAATTGTATTATAGTTTATGTTATAGAGACATACACATGATAAAGATTAAGGGACTTGAAATCTCAAAAAAAAATTGCATAAAGACCTTAAACTAGTAAGACATTTGGAATTTCTATGGAACTACATTTACAAAAATGCAGTGTGTCTCTTGTCAACACAGGAAGTTTGTTACAAAGACATCATTCAAAACAAGAGTCAAACCCTGGGAACTCCATTTAAAATGAAATGGAAAAAAAATTTCAGATGTTTACTTCTCTAGCCTTTAAAGTATTTTATGTAGAAATTAATCAAGTCCCTGCCAAAAACAAAACAAAACAAAACAAAACAAAACCATTCTAACCCAATTCACTTGTGCTATGGACCTTTTGTGTAAGTCCTTGAGAATTCCACATCATTCTAGCATGACATTCTCTCCTGCTCAAGGTATCCATCTGCCTGTATAAAGGTATATATAATTTCATACTAATTTCATGCCTCTTCCACCCAGGCTTCTAAAGGGCTCAACCTCAGTAGCTGGCAAGAGTTCCCCTAAGCATGTAAGGTCTTAAAATAAGTCAGTCATTGATCAGAGATTTGGGGGAACGTGCAGAACCATATAAGCAATGAGTTCATAAGGAAAACACAGACAAAAAAGTGGGGACGCAGAGTACAGATCATTATTTCAAGTTGTTTTTGTGAGTGGGGAGTAAAATGACATGGTAGCTGAAGGGGATTTGGAGTAAGATGGGGGAGAGTTATCTAGGATGCTGGATAAGAGATGAAAAGATGCTGAAGAGGCTGATTGAGAGGGAGACAGTGAAGGTGGAGACTGAAGCTTGTGAGTAGCAAGAAGGGATGACAGCCAGAGCACAGGCAGAGGTTTGGCTTTGCGTGGACGGGGCCCCTTTCCCTCCGCCATAATAGGATAGAGGACAGCAGACGTGGGTAGTTAATAGTGAGATGATGAGGAAGTTCCTATCTAATTGTTTCCATTTTCTTTATGAAATACGAGGCTAAGTCATCCGTTGGAAGTGAAGATGCAGGAGGAAGATGAGGCTCGGGTTAGGAAGAGAGGAAAGGGAACAATATAAATAGCTTAAAGAGCAGGAAATGCGGTGGGGTTTCCGGGAAGTGTCAAGGGCCCATAGAAGTCTGTGACACATACTTAAGATGAGACTCACCAGCACAATTGTGCCACTTTCTACAGTACGCAGTTGCACAAGTGTACTTACTATGGAGGACAGGTGCTTTGCCAGATGAGTAAATGGAGAGAGAATGGAGAAACAGAGTCAAGGCAGTTCGCAAGGAGGCAATTACAGAGTTGGACCATGGAGTCCAAGGCTGGGCAACAAAGGGAGAAGAACATTTTGAAAAATGATGCTCAACGTGTAAGTAGTCTCGATGAGATAAAACCATTTGGAATGAAGCATTTCAGTAAGTAGGCCAGAGGATACCATGTCATGGCCAGAAAGTGGAAAGCATAAATTTGGGATTTCAGAGATATCCCCCTGCCCCCGCTTAGCTTTCCCTCATGAGTAGGCAGAATAAGTCATAATCTGTGGAGCAGTTTGCAGAAATAACAAGAAAAGTTCATTGTCTTCACCTTACCCAGAATATATCCCCCTACTTCTTCACAGGTGGCTGAAATTACATAATTAGAAGGCCATTTCTCCGTCATCAAGTGACTTCCTGTTAGAATGTAAACTCTGTGGGAGAGATGACTTATGCCAACCCAGGCAGGCACACCTCATCCACTCCTTCTTTCAGTAATTAGCACCTCTCAGCAAAGTCTGTTCCCAACTATGACAATAGACAGGCTCACCCTCAGGTGAGAATTCATTTATCGGATTATTTATAGAGAAAGGTTTTTATGTGGAAAAGAGCAGATATACCCAGCACCTGAACCAGAAAGTTTGGGCCTTCACAATGAATCTGGGCCTGGTATTTTTTACCTAAAGTTAAAGCATAACTAAAAGTTCTGTTAAGGGGGGCAGGCAGGGAAGCAGACTTATGGATGGAAAAAATTTTTAAATGTTTATTGTTAATACAGAAATTCTGCATTAAACAATTTATTTTAAGGAAATAGGGATGATGTAATAAGATGTTTGAAAAAGAAGATTTAACACAATACTGTTTATGATATCAAAACAGGGAAAACAATCTTAATACTAAAGAATAGGAGATTGGCTAAGACAACACAGTCATCCACAGAGGGAATGCTATCCAGCAGTATTGATTGACATATTGCCTAGTTGGAAAAGAAAATGCTTTTTCTTTTTTTTAAATTTAAAGTCATATAAATAAATAAAGAGGAAAAAATGACAAAAGGGATATGTTTATCAAACGGTTAACAATTTGTATCTATAGGGTGGGATTATGGGTGATGATTCTTAGTTTATTTTTTTTCTGTCTTTGTGCTTTATTATGTTTTGTATGAAAGCAAAACTAAATGTGAGCATATTTGGTCATCAAAGAAAATATCCAATTTGATTTTATTTCCTAGCTGTGCAGAATACATGTATACCAGCCTCAGAATTCTGCCGTAAGACCTAATTAACTTTAACAAACAAAATTTAATTCACGATGTTTATTCTGACACTTTCTATCACAAAGAAGCAGTGGACTCAAACTGAATTATCTGATTATAAAAAGAAATTATTCTTGTCAGAAAATAATGCTGCCTGGGCACCGGGGTGGCTTAGTTGGTTAAGCATCTGCCTTCAGCTCAGGTCATGATCTCAGGGTCCTGGAATCAAGTCCCATGTCATTGGGCTCCCTGCTCAGCAGGGAGTCTGCTTCTCCCTCTCCCTCTCCCTTTGCCCCCCGCCCCCCCCCGCCACTTGTTCACTCTTTTTCCGATAAATAAATAAAATCTTAAAAAAAAAAGAATGATGCCCATAAATAGACAAGAAGGTACAACCTTCTTTTTCTCATATACATTTTTTTCTGATAACTAAATTATCCTACTTTGGGAAATGTTAATGCAGTAGCTTGAGCTGGAAGACATGCCATATTGTAAGGCTTGGCAAAAATAGTTCTGGCATCTTCCTGGAGTCAGAGTGGGAACATTGTGGGAGGAAATGACAGGTGATAAGTACAGTGACTGCCCTCCATCATGCTGGACACAGAAATCAGCAGGCAGCACTGTCCTGTGCTTCTACTTTAAACTCCAAACAGACCAAGAAACGAAAGGAGGGAGAGAAAGATGGGCAATGAATCTGAAGGTGGATAAAGCAGAGAAGATTTAAAAAGAAAGAAAAATGGGAGGCAAGAGAAAGAGGACCATGTCATTTATTGTATTCCCATTGATATAAAGGAGGGAGAGTGATGACTTCTATTATAAATAAGGCATTAATTCATCTCAACACACATGGATTAGGCCCCCATGATGGTTGCAATAAGAAAGAAAAGCATGTTTCTATCCCGGTGAACACAACCAGACCAGTATTCTAGAATGTACTTTTTGCTGTTCCTCTGCTCAAAACTTTATGAGCTTGCTCCATGAGCTTGGCTCATGATTTTCCAGCCCCTAGAATCACTGTTTCCTCCATGTTGCCCCACCAAATCCTAATTGTTCTTCACTGCTCACCTGCTCCATGAAGTCACCTTTAACTGTTCCTTCCAGGCTGTGTGCATATTTCTCCTTTGAACTCCTATTTTATTTACAGTGAGTACTATGTTTACATGTTAGAATGAAATTATTCTCTATTTGTGTGTATTTTCTACTCAGTGTGTAAAGTGGATCTCGTGGATTCCTCACACTAACAGAAATTGACATGCAGTGAATATTGATTGATAATCCCACTATTATGGTAGTTGATTCGTTGCACACCAAAATAATGCTCTCAGACACCAATCTGAGGGGTCGTTCAGGGTTGCCTCTACAGGGGAGAGTAGCAGCGGCTGAATTGTGCACATAGCTTTTATTTAGTTTTTTTTTATCAGCGAAGCAAGGACAGATGTGTCAAAGCATAGGGAAAGAATACAAAGAGATGGCAATTATCTTGAAGCCGGAAAGCAGGCCTGTACCCTCCTCTATGCTTGCTCACGCAGGGAGGTGGTTATTGGATAAGGGAGGGATGGGATATTCGTGCTAACAATTGCCCAAGGCAGGGGTTGAGGGTTACTTTCCTTTATAGCTCCTTATCTATGCCCTGCCCCAGGAGATCATGGGATCCTGTTCCTACCAGGCCATTGCTTTTAACAGCCCGAGAACAGGAATGCTGCTGATGTTTCAGTTGCTCCCACAATCACTCCTTAAGGCTTACAACACACTTTCTAAGAATAACCCCACAGTTGACTGTATGATTACAGGGATTGTGTGATAATCAGGGATCAATCTGTTAATACTGACTGATAAACACACCATTATTGTCCTTTTGGTAACTAAAGCAGGTGATGATCACCTGGTTATAGCAAGGATTTATAGAAATGTGTTGACATCATTTATTCACTCATCCATTCAATAAATATTTATTAAAGATTCATTCACTAGGAAGATACATCCTCACTTTCTGGTTGTTTTGCCTGTAACTGAAAGGGGGAAGTAAAATTCCAAATGGAATAGAAAAAGATCAACAAAATAAGCTAATGAATACTTGGCTAAAGCCACCCTAGCCTATTAATGCCTCTTTCTGAACAAAAACACGTGTCAGGTATATATTTACTTAGGCAAATTCCAAGAGGCATTTTAAACACTTTGGGGGAGGGGACCCAGAAAGGATGAGGTACCTTATTCTTTTGCAGATTTTGATACAGGAAAAAGTTCTTAGAGGTACTGATATTGCAAAACTAAAGCAGTCATCATCAGGCTCATCAATATTGACCCCAAACCTTTATTTAGCATCTCTATAAACTGTGAACTAGGTAAGAAGTATAGATAAAATTATGAATAAAATATAGACTCTGCTCAGGAGAAGCTTAAATGTCTCAATGGAGAGAGATAAGAATGTCACCCATAGGGCGCCTGGGTGGCTCAGTTGGTTAAGCGACTGCCTTCGGCTCAGGTCATGATCCTGGAGTCCTGGGATCGAGTCCCGCATCAGGCTCCCTGCTCAGCAGGGAGTCCCGCATCAGGCTCCCTGCTCAGCAGGGAGTCTGCTTCTCCCTCTGACCCTCCTCCCTCTCATGCTCTCTATCTCTCATTCTCTCTGTCTCAAATAAATAAATAAAATCTTTAAAAAAAAAAAAAAAAAAAAAGAATGTCACCCATAAGTTTGCTGGCAGTATCTGGAGGGGTTTGGAGATATCATCCATCCCCCTAGAGAAGGCAGTATTCACCAGTAACTCCCCTCAAAAACACCCTGGTCAGGGGGCCATAGAAATGTGTCTCAATTTTGCCATTCAATCACCAGGCAGTTCATACAGATCCCATTCCATTCCGATGCTTGCTACGAGGCCCTTCAACTTTTAGTCTCCTCATGCTTTTCTCTTCCTTTGCACTCTAGGGTCTTTTTACCCACCCACCTTCCTTCTGCAGGATCCCTAACACTGGGCGTGGCCCTGGGCTCCCTCAGGCCAAGACAGCCACCGGCCTGGCCCGCACTTGCCTTCATCTGTCACATGCAGCCCACAAGATAAACAAAACCTTTCTCTTGCTCATAGTGACACCATCTCTATAATCTGTGAGTGGGGTAGGAAGGGGGGGATCAAGGAGAAGAAACATCCTGTCCAGCATATCCACAACCAAATATAAATCAGAGAACAAATGTTATTGAAAAAGTATGTATTTGATAGGAATAACTTTGCCTCTGGGAAATAAAAATTCAACATAATGGTGACTAAAACAGGATAAAGGTATATTTTCTCTTATGTAAAATTCCACAGCTAAGTGTCCAGTCCAGGGTCTGCTCCATAAAATTCTGAGAGACCCAGCTCCTTCTGGCTCACTGCTCTATCATCTTGAGGATGTGGCCATGGTCTTCAGGTCCAAGATAGCAACTAGATCTCCTGCCATCACATCCTCATTCCAGATAGCAGGATAGAGGTTGGGGCAAAAAGAAGAGACAAAGGATATAGGTCAGTTACTGTTGTCTTTTTAAAATTTTTTTCTTTTTTTGTTTTACTGTTGTCTTTTTAAAATTTTTTTACAAATGATAATATTTTATTATAGAAAAAGCATCCCAAATACAGGATTTCATAAATGCCAGTAGGTGAACAAGTATAACTTTGAAAGTACCTACAGGGCCACCTGGGTGGCTCAGTCCGTTAAGCGTCCCACTCTTGATTTTGGCTTAGGTCATGATCTCAAGGCCTGAGATTGGGCTTCACCCTGGCGTGGAGCCTGCTTAAGATTCTCTCTCTTCGGGGCGCCTGGGTGGCTCAGATGGTTAAGCGTCTGCCTTCGGCTCAGGTCATGATCCCAGGGTCTTGGGATTGAGTCCTACATCGGGCTCCTGGCTCAGCGGGGAGCCTGCTTCTCCCTCTGACCCTCTCCCCTCTCATGCTGTTTCTCTCTCGCTCGCTCTCTAAAAAATAAATAAAATCTTAAAAAAAAAAAAAATTCTCTCTCTTCCTCTCCCCCTGTCCCTCCTCACTCCCCCCACACCCGCTCTCTATCTCTTAAAAAAAAAAAAGTACATTCAAAGTAGAGAGGCAAAACCTAGAAGCATTTTGCCTTTGGAAGAGAATACAATGTTCTCCTGCAGAGATGATCCCACCCAGAGCACGAATGTGGCTCCACCTTTCATGCAGACATCAGGTTTGCTTTCTGAACTCACTATACCCATTTTAACAATTTCAAAATGATGGCAAGAAGTGGCATTGAATAAATTACTAAAACTCCTTGATTCTTAATTTTCTGTTGACACTCAATAAAAAAGATACTGTGTCACACTTTATGACAGATTTTGAGTTAAAGCCTGTTTGTTTTTACCTACAGAAGAGTCCAGTGGAACACTATTTGCAAATATATCCATTTTTCCCGGGCTTATGCTACAGTATTTTCATAGGCCTGTATACATTAGATATCACACTGTTCCCTTGGAATTTAGTTTAAAATAATATTGGCTGTTGCATAATGTGCAGTAAATCCAGCTACTTTCTGGCTCCCTAACTCTTCTTGCTGTCATTCTTTCAATACCTTTCCTCCACTTTGGAGAAACCATTAAGTAATCTAACCTGACACATTTTAACCCTGCCTCTTTGTCTACTCTCCAAATCCTCAAGGCTAATGCAGACACAAACTCAAGATTCTAAACCTCAAATTCAGGTTCACGTTGGCTTGCTGAAATGACTTGGAGTGAGATATCCTGGGGAAAACCGTTTTCTTACAGAAATGTTCCTGTATATATTTAGGCGCCTGGCTTATTTAGGTTATTTAGGCACCTAGAAAAAACACCAAACCTGAGCTCCAACTTTTTTATTAGAAACACTTCTTGCCTAGCTGGCCAATTTCTACATGCTAATTGTCTCTTGAGGAAGATTCCCAGAAGTCACCACAGGACAATCCTACTTATATCTCATTGGTGAGGACTTGATCACCTGGTTACTACAAGTCAAAACAAGTCGGGAAATGGAGTCTTTCCTGAATGGCATGAGCCCAGCTAAAAATTGAGAGTCTTTCTGTAGAAGAAGGAGAGAATAGACATTGTAGGAGAACTAGCTTCTCAGTGACAAAGAGCAAACAAGATACTTTAGAAGTAAAGAATAGAAAAAGACCCATTTAAAATTAAGAGAACTGGGGCACCTGGGTGGCTCAGTTGGTTAAGCGACTGCCTTCGGCTCAGGTCATGATCCTGGAGTCCCTGGATCGAGTCCTGCATCGGGCTACCTGCTCAGCAGGGAGTCTGCTTCTCCCTCTCCTGCTCCCCCCTCTTGTGCTCTTTCTCTCTCTCACTCTCTCTCAAACAAATAAAATCTTAAAAAAAATAAAAATAAATAAATAAATAAAATTAAGAGAACTGAAGATCATTTCACGGAAGAAAGTTGAGTCTTGAAAGTTGTACTATTTGGACTGGCAGATATAGGACCGAACAGGTGGAATGAATAGAGGGAACAAATAGTAGTGGGCACATGTACATCCATTCATTCTCTCATTTCCTTTAGTCATTAAATTTAAAAGTATTTTTTATTCTAGAACTTTTTGGTTACACATAAATATAGAAAGAATAATATAAGAACCTTCAGGGCTCATCAACCATTATGAATACTTTAGAAATGATCGATAAACATTTATGAAGTAGGCTTTCAACTAAAAATACAGAAATGATTAAAATGCAATGGCCCCAAGAAACTTAAGCATAGTGGGTATGTCTGAAGGAGTAATTCATTAAGGAAATGAATGAACATTTGGTGAAGTTAAGTGGTAATATAGCAGCCAATGTAGCCAGGATACGTATGTGTTAGTTCTTTACTATGTTCCAGTCATTGGTTGGAGGAACTTGGATAAAAAGCTCACTGTTAGCCCTGTGGATATTTACTGTCCTGTGAAGGGCTCATAGGCCAATGGAAATAAATAGCTGCAAATAATGGAAGGTCTGGACTATCATAATGTGGAATATGAACAGGCAATATTCAGGCAATAGGGAATTACCAGACGTAGCTGAGCAGGAAAATGACCGAATATTAAATCCAAGGTTTAGAAAGAATTGGTGCCCGCATGGGGGATAGATTGCAAAGAGGAAAACAAATTTAGGAAAATAGTTAACAATTAAAAGTGAATTTCAAAACAACCTGAGTAAAAGGAAGAGAAGAAAATTAACATATTGTGATGTCTACATTGTCCCACGCATAGTGGTTAGCCCTTTACACACATTATGCCTGACATTAATCTTCATGACAGCCCCAAGAGGAAGGTGTTATCCCCTTGATTTTTAGATGAGGAAGTAGAGACCCAGAGAGTGATTTTTTCTGGCTCTATTCCTAGGTCCTAGTGGAATCAGAATTTGAATCTGTTTTGCTGGCCTCCATGTTTACATCTGTACCACATGCCTCCACGTCCTGAACTACAGAGGTAGCAGAAGGAATCAGAAAGAGGGCACAGAAGTGAGGATGCTCCTGAAGAACAGACTGGGGTGAGTGATGAAGTGGTGTGGCTGGGGAAGAGGGAGAGATCAGGGGCGTCACAGACCACTGAAGCCCCAAGCCTGAGAGTCAGGATGATGGTAATGTGTTTATACGAGACATACATGAGACAGAAGATAAAGAGACTGGGGAGCAGATGATGCATTTGAATTTGGAGGTGTTGAATTGGAATTGATGTCTAGCAAGCAGTTGGAAACTTGGGTCTGAAACGAAGGGAAACACCAAGTCCCTACACATACATGAAGAAGGTTCTGGTGTGGGTGGCTGGGTGGCTCAGTTGGTTAAGCGACTGCCTTCGGTTCAGGTCATGATCCTGGAGTCCCTGGATCGAGTCCCGCATCGGGCTCCCTGCTCGGCAGGGAGTCTGCTTCTCCCTCTCCCACTCCCTGTTTGTGTTCCCTCTCTCGCTGTGTCTTTCTCTGTCAAATAAGTAAATAAAATCTTTAAAAAAAAAAAAAAAAAAAAGAAGGTTCTGGTGTGGTGTGACAGGAGCAGTGCAGAGTGTGTGAGGTCTCCCGAGAGAAAGGGACGGGTAAGAGAAAACAAGCACCTGAATTGACCTTAGTTACTGCCCGTATCTCGGGGGTACGAGGAGGAACGGGGACAAGGTCTGGAAAAGGGCTATCAAAAAAACAGGAGAAACAGGAATATGGCTTGTCCCAGGAACTGTGGAAGGGGACAGCCCCAAGATTCACAGTTGGGTGAGCGAACATTGTCTCACAGTTGGAGGGTCATCAGGGACCTCTTCTGGAGCAGTGACCTCTGCAGAGGGCCAGGTGGAGAGGGAGCTGGACAACAGCAGGCTAGGAGAGGCACAAACGAACACTCCTCCGTGGAGAAATCGTCTTTGAAAAGAAGGAAGAGCTAATACTGAAGCAGGATAGGAGATGCCCGGCTGGAGGAAAGCTTTTCTTTTTAGAACGAATGGTGTCAATCTACTTGTGAGCAGAGAGAAAGGCGCTGTGGAGAAGCCAGATTAGTTTTTCCTGGGACAAGAGGGAAGAAAAGGAGACCAGAGGGAAAGGTGAGAGAGAAAACGTGAAGACACGTGCATTTTTTGTCGTACTTGGTTAGGTTTTCAGGAATTTGAGAGGTAAGGTGATGGATGGAATAAAGAGCGAGGGTGTACTTATGGCTGGAGGAGAGTGGGAAAGATTTGGAATAGATGCATAAAGGAACAGCGCTGGGCTTGGGCAAGGGCAGGCACGGGGTGACCACCTCATGTGGAGCCCGGTTTTGTGGGAGTGTGGCAGCTGAAGAATGCAGGGCTCAGGGGGTCCAGGGTGATGATAAGAGCTTAGAAGCAGGGGCGCCTGGGTGGCTCAGTTGGTTGAGATGCTGACTTTTGATTTTGGCGCAGGTCATGATCTCGCGGAGGTGGGATGGAGCCCCACATCCAGCTCTGCTCTCAGCGGGGAGTCTGCTTGAGGATTCTCTCTCCTTTCCCTCTGCCCCTCCCACCTTTCACTCAAGTAAATAAATAAATCTTAAAAAAAAAAAAAATAGAAGAGCTTAGCTGCAAAGAAAGTCTATGACCTTAGATGCCTTAGATGGACCCGGTAAGGGAGGAAATTTTCCTGAGGGCAGAAACTGCATCTGATGCCTTATCACATCTCTCAACTCCTGGCATGTAGTAGCTTCTCAGTAAATATTTCATCATAAATGAACAAGCTGAGTATAAGATATAAGGTCTCAAGAAAGTGCCTCATGGATAATGCAGACTGTTGCAGGAGAAGAGAGGTCCCTTGAGGCAGAAGCAGTCCAGGTGGTTGAGAGAATCCTACTCAGAAAACTTCCTCTTGGTTTCCCTTCCTGGTGTCTCGTTCTTCTGTCCTCTTTTGGCATGCGACTTTATCAGAGTTAACTCCTCCTTTCTGCATCTAGCACCGTGTCTTGTGTCTTGCACGGAGTAGACATTCAATGCATATTTACAGGATTGGATACAAACCAAGTTGTGACTGGTATTTCGTGGTGGTTGTTTATCTTTGGGGAGTACAAAGCCTGCCGAATATAGGAATTGCTGCTACTGCTTCCTGTCACTGTCCCTTGGCCTCATCATGCAATCTGTCTTGCTTGTTTTGCAGCTGCCTGGGTTACCTTTTGGCTTCCATTCCCTCACCCTCAGCTGGCCTGAAAACAAACACCCCTAAACATTCTGGCACTGGTGCAGCCCCACCTAGATCCTGCATGGCACTTCCCACCCTGCCTCCTCACAGAGGAAGCCTTTGCCCTCTCAGGACTCCTCCCCAGGGTGCTCAGTATTGCCTTGCTCGATCTTGGCTACCTTCCATCAGGATTGGGTCTCTGCTCAGACAGTCTTGGGTAAACACTTCTCCCTGTTCAACCCAACCCTAGGCCATCCATGGGTGACCCATCTGCACCGTTAACCCATTTCAGCAAGCAGAAGCTAGACCAGAACTATTAATAATCCTCAGACCTTTTAAAGCTATTTTCTGGAATTCACAGACTACTCTTCCACAATGGAGGCCCTTTTCAGAGGTAGGGACATGAGAGAGTCTAGGTGAGGCTACTAGTACTATGATAGTCATAGAAAGGAAGCCAGAATAGAAGCCCTGGCGATGTTATATGTATTTCAAAGCTTTTTAGTAAATCTTTATCCCTGCGGGCTAAATAGGGTCATTACTTCCTTTCTTTCCTGAGTAGAAATCCTTGCTATTACAACTGAGAAAATTAGCACAGAAAATATAGAGTCAATCACCAGCCTGGCCCAAAAAGCTGAACCCACCCCTCCTGACTAGAACTGAAGGCAAACTATTGGATTTCTAACATCAGATTCTACCTTATCTTATTAGATATTGCAATGGGGTGGGACCTTAGTCACATCATTGAGCTGAATCTATTCAAATGAGTCTTGCTACTCACCACCACAAGTTCTTTGTCTTGTGCTAAAAGTTTGACTCATTAAAGGCCATTTGAGACAAAATCAAGTCCTTTGTGTGTATACATTTCCCCCCCTGGTGACTCTGTAATCACTGTTCCCTTGTAGCTCAGCAATACTGTTGAGCAACAGAGTTGAGTTGGATTCTTGTAGGGCAGTGGAAGAACATGGACCTAGACAGAACTGACCTCAAATCCATCCCTTTCCGACTGTGTAAAAGTTACATTCCCCACCTACGCCACTGGAAAGTAGGGGTAAGGACATTGCACTGTCTCCCATATGGAGATTTTGTGGGGATTAAATGAGTTCATTTCTTTAAAAAGTGCCCAGGAACGCACCTGGCACATATTAGGTGTATAACAAGGGACTTCCCTTCCCATTTCCCTCCCTTAGTTCCTTACCTTGTTTTCCTGAGGGTAACTTTTCAAAGGGCAAATAGAACATATTATGGAAGTGCTTCTACCCATTCATAGTACAGAAATCATTTTAATGTATAGAATCAAGAATCATTTTTGTGACGTTCTCTTACTTACATCACCTAGAAATTTTACTGGAACTATTTTGTTTTTGTATGAAATATGTTTTTAAAGGGCTTCCTAGTTGAGACAGCACTTTGGGTGTACATAAAGTAATACATACAACCTGGTGAGGTAGTTCAGGGTCAGGTTATTATTTTTTTTTTTTAAGATTTTATTTATTTATTTGACAGAGAGAGACACAGCGAGAAAGGGAACACAAGCAGGGGGAGTGGGAGAGGGAGAAGCAGGCTTCCCGTGGAGCAGGGAGCCTGATGCGGAGCTTGATCCCAGGACCCTGGGATCATGACCTGAGCCGAAGGCAGACGCTTAACAACTGAACAGGTCAGGTTATTTGTCCCCATTTTACAGATGGACAAACTAACACTCAGGGAGGTGAAGCACTTTGCTCAAGGTCATGTGACAGATAAGTGTGGGAAGAGTGGAACCCAGATCTCTCAACACCTCTCCCCTGTGACTTTCTCTCTCCAGCTGCACTGAGGTACTGGTCTTCCAAAGCCCAGGTGCGAAGCCCTTTGTTAGATGAATTCGTGACATACTATGGAGTATGGAAAGAACAACATCCTTGACGAGGAGGGAGTGTGGAAATGTCAGTTGCCCCAAACATCTAAAGATTTCCTCTATTACACTGCCATGGAAAAACCCAGCTTCCCATGACCCTCCCCCAGGAGCCTAATACAATTTCTGTATCACTGGAGAGAGTGAACCCTTTGCCTTGGAAAGGACCGAGAAAAAGTGGGAGGGGATTCAATAAATAAGAGATAAGAATCAGGGCAAGAGTTGTTCTTGAGGAGGCTTTCACGGTTTCATGGAGACAGATGGCAGCTATCTATAAAATATGCTTGCAAGTCCTACTTCCTTCTTCATTTTGGTTTGTTGTGACAACTAGATTTAAGTTTTAGGCAAATAAATACATAGGAGCATATTTTCACTCCAAGTATTGGAATAACTAAAGCAACAGGATGCCTCACAAATTTCTCCATTTACTTGGGCAAGAAAACTTTCTGCGAAGCAAGTTTTAGTGTTTTTCTGGGTTTTGTTGGGAAGGCAGGGGGAGACTGTTAAGATCCATTTCTTCAGTAGTAAGCACTCCTGGTATAATGTAATTAATCAGAGTTAGCCTGGAGCAGTCTCCCACTCAGGGGAATTACCTTCTTCCATTTGGTATCCCACACCTGCCTTTTGCATGGTGCACCTGGAGCCCACTCACCTAATGCTTGTTCTTGGCTGATCAAACCTCCAGCCCATTGGGCTGTGATGCTCACATCAGGCCTGTCTCCCACCACAGTCTATCGACCCCAAGAACCAGTCCCCTCATGACATCCCTGTCCTGAGTTCCGTTCCCTCAGTGTCCTCTAAGCTGAGGGATGGGACTCCCATTGGAAATTCTAATCCCTTTTGAAAAACATATTTTATTTTCACAAAGGCCCCCAATGCAAAATCTGGGGTACATGCTAGAGACCATGTTTCAGGGGTGCCGGGTCTTTCAGGATTCTAGTCATGCCACCTCTGTAGAGACAAATGATTGCTGGTAAACGGTGGAGAGAACTGCACCCAAATGATCTCCTCAGAGCGATCACCTCACTTTACCAGATATCAAGAGAGCATCTTGCCATATGATTCAGACAAGAATCTCCAGGAAAAATAAATACTGTACAACATGAATTACTGAAATGCAGTGAAGCAAGAACTGAGTTGCAAAGGCCTGAAAAGAAATGAGGCTCAAGATTAAGAGCGGGGGGGAGAAAGGACAAGTGATAAAGGAGACTACATGGAAATGCGTGCAGAAATAGGCTTCCTGGAAGTAAACTCTGGACAATGAATGTCAGGTGAAATTAAGAGCAAGAAGGACATAATATGAGATGCTTCCGAATGGCTGCTCTAAGGTGTGATGAGCATAATTTGACTTGATTAGACTCTCTAGAGTCTCTGATTTACATGATGCAAAGATAGATGCTCATGTCGATCTATTTAATGTTTACCTCTGAAAAGTCTTATGCTTTCTTGTCTTATTTTAAATTCAGACTTGGTGGGTTCTTTCATTTTTGTCATGTCAGTTTGTTTCTTTATGGTGCTGTGAGGTGTTAAAAACAGACACGATGACCATCTCCCAAGAAATAAAATCAATCACCTTTAGGATTGAAAGGTGAAGGGCATTGGCTGAATTAGTAATTCTCCTGTTGAGCTTGAAGAAGTTTTAAAAAGATTTGTTTTCTCTCTCTTGTGCCTTTTTCATGATTCTTCATTTAATTGATTTGTGCAGACATTAAAATTTCCTATTTCTATACTCCTAATGATTGAGATGACAATGTTTCCCCGGTTTACAAAATTTTAGTGGATTGGAGGGGTACATAATGTATGGGAAAAATTAATTTTGCAAAAGCCTTATGTAAAGTTGAACATCTCTGATGGTCCATTTCTTACATGTGCTAATTGGGCTTATATATCATGGTGGCCTTGGGGACTGCCAGTCTGAGACCAATTGCCACTTAGTAGTTGTGTGACCTTAAGTTACTTGATATTTTGGGCATCAGTACTTTATCTGTAACATGGAGATAAGATTTTTTTTTTAAATTTATTTGACAGAGACAAAGACAGCGAGAGAGGGAACACAAGCAGGGGGAGTGGGAGAGGGAGAAGCAGGCTTCCCGCTGAGCAGGGAGCCCGATGCAGGGCTTGATCCCAGAACCCTGGGATCATGACCTGAGCCGAAGGCAGCCGCTTAACTGACTGAGCCACCCAGGCGCCCTGTAACATGGAGATAATGTATAGTGCCTACATCTTAGAGTTGTTGTGGGGATGGAGGTGATATACATGTAAAGCACTTATTAGGACAATGTTTTCATTATTATGTGATTGGTTATATAGTCTTAGAGGAGCCACAGAAGTTTAGAGGTTATGCCCAATTGAATACTTAGAAGAAAGATTTTAGGTAAAAATGTGATTTGACATATATTTGAATGATTTTTATTATGGTATTTAAAAAGTCAGTTTCTTTTCAGGTTGCAAAAATGTCCAAACACAAAATACTAAACAACGTGGTTGAGATAGAGACCTTTATTTGGCTTAATGCGTAGCTAGAAATAACATCTATTTAGCACCACCTTCTAATAAAGAGCAAGTTTTGAGAAGCAAAATGTTTGTCTTCCCTTTATAACTAACTTCTGCTTAAAGTTTTGGACCGGCAGTAGGCATTTGTCATTTGGTGGCTGCCCCGTGGCCAAATTCCTTTCTTACGTTCAAGAAGCCCCCGCTGTATGAATCTTGGTGGAAAAAGCCAGGAGACTGTGCCTTATTTCTCTCTGCCTTGTGCCATGTTTAGAATCCTTCCAGGTACACAGTATGCGTTGGTTAAACTGAAAATGTAAACAGGAAGAAGAAAATTTTCACAACCAGGAAAGGCTACACGATGAGTCAGGGGTTATTCTCTGTTCACAAGTAGCTCCACTGTGATTAACTGAATATCTCTGGGCAAGTCACACAACTTGCTCAGTTAGTTACTGGTTAGTTAGTAGTTTCTGCATCATATATGGAATGTAAACAAACCCACTGACCCAGCTGGAGGCATGTAAGGACTAATCAATGAATGAAAATTAACGGGATAGCCAGGTAAAATCACATATCTATCAAATACCAAAAGATATGTTTAGTTCACAAATACATATCCCATTATAAGTGTTTTTTTTTTTAAGATTTATTTATTTGACAGAGAAATAGAGAGAGCCAGAGAGCACAAGCAGGGGGAGTGGCAGGCAGGGAGCCCGATGCGGGGCTCGATCCCAGGACCCTGAGATGGTGAAGGCAGACGCTTTACTGACTGAGCCACCCAGGCACCCCTGTAAGTGTTTTTAGATTGGTTTAGTTGAACTCCTAGAACTTTCTATGCTCTATATTGTTATAAACATAAATTTATCTTCATACAATTATGAAAGTAAAATAAATGTTTTATCATGTATCCAAATTCCGTAATTCCAGTTTCTGGATATTTAGAAAATTTTCCTTCTTCAATCTTCCTTTTACTTAATTAGGAATTTATTTAATAGTTACCACCTTTTTAAGCTTTAATTAAATTGTATATTTCCTACTTTAGTATTCCTTTTTCTTTGTTCTCCTTTACGGGGCTTCTATAAATTCAGCTCCCACTTTTTTTCTTAAATAGATGCATTGCTTACCGCTCCCCCTTGAGAAATGTGAATTAAAAATTTCCCATGACTGGGTGCTTGGGTGGCTCAGTCATTGAGCATCTGCCTTCGGCTCAGGTCATGATCCCAGGCTCCTGGGATCGAGCCCCGCATCGGACTCCCTGCTCCGGGGGAGGCCTGCTTCTCCCTCTCCCACTCCCCCTGCTTGTGTTCCTGCTCTCGCTCTCTCTCTCTGTCAAATAAATAAAATCTTAAAAAAATAAATAAATTAAATAAAAGTTTCCCATGACTTCTGTAATTACTATTTCAGTCCCCTCCAAATAGTTCAACCCAGTTCTCCTAAAATATGTGATCCAAGACTGAATAAGCCAATTTTATCTTTTTTTTTTTAAGATTTATTTATTGGGTGCCTGGGTGGCTCAGTTGGTTAAGCGACTGCCTTCGGCTCAGGTCATGATCCTGGAGTCCCGGGATCGAGTCCCACATCAGGCTCCCTGTTCAGCGGGGAGTCTGCTTCTCCCTCTGACCCTCCTCCCTCTCATGCTCTCTGTCTCAAATAAAAAAAAAATTAAAAAAATAAAGATTTATTTATTTATTTATTTATTTGAGAGAGCGAGAATGAGAGAGAGAGAGGGTACATGAGAGGGGGGAGGGTCAGAGGGAGAAGCAGGCTCCCCGCTGAGCAGGGAGTCCGATGCGGAATTCAATCCCGGGACCCCAGGATCATGACCTGAGCCGAATGCAGTCGCCTAACCAACTGAGCCACCCAGGTGCCCCGCCAACTTTATCTTTTAACACACATTTGCACACAAACACCACAACCAGAACACAAATACCCATACCTAGACACCTCTCTGCTTTATGCTTTCCCACCTTCATCAATTTTTTAGATTTTTGCAAAGAGTAAATCACTAAATCCAATAGACCAATCCCTAATATGTGTATGGCAATGGTGATTTATGATGCTAAGTTTAAAGCCAAGGTGATTTATGATGCTAAGTTTAAAGCCAAGGTGATATATGATGCTAAGTTTAAAAGAAGTATCACTGCTATTCATTGATCTGCCTGCAATTTTATGGCTTTTCCTAATGAAACGAGACAGGAAAACATTTAATTAAAAGTGCACTACATTTGGAAGACATAGAAGTCTTTAGCAATCTTTGAAAATTAAATACTGCGTGTATGGGAGAGATACAGACGCACTTCGCTTCATGGGATATTGCTGCCATGCTCCTGAGACTTTGAACATGAAAGGAATTTTTTAAAGTGAAGTTTGATTTTTTGAAAAATCTGTCTTGAGTCTTTTTATAAAACAGAGGAGGACTTGAATTTCAGCCTGGAAGGGAGGGCAAGCCTTAGACGATTAGAAGCAGAAAAGTCAGGCACTTCAGGTAGGAAGAATGCCCTAACCAAAGCTGCAGACGAGGAATGAGCGTAATGTTTTCCAGCAGTGATGAGGAGATGAGTTTGGCTGGTAAGTAGAGGGAAGAAGAGGGAAACCAAGTTGGAGATTGGTGGAGGCAAATACTCTGGGACAGGGCTGGGGAAACTGCTCACTGTCGTGCAACTTTTTTTCTACAGGACATTAGCTGTGCGGCACAATCCACCCACTGTGTAGATCCATCTTTGCTCTTACTTAAGGCCACATTCATCCACTTGTGCATCAAATATTTATTAAGCTTTCTTCTGCAGTATGATACACAGTGTCAGATGTTATTGAAGTGACAATAATAAACTAGCCGTGTATCAGACAATCGAGTATCAAATAATCTGGAAAGGGAGATTGGATTTACATATAAATAATCATAATATGGGGCATTATGTGAGATACAAACAAATTGCTTTGCCATTCAATAATTTGAAAGGAAAAATTACATCCATTTGATGAGCTTAGGGAAGACTCTTGCAGATGCAGCACTTGTTCAGAACTTGGCAGAATAAGCAGAACTGAGGGCGCCTGGGTGGCTCAGATGGTTAAGTGTCTGCCTTCGGCTCAGGTCATGATCCCGGCGTCCTGGGATCGAGTCCCGCATCGGGCTCCCTTCTCCTTGGGAGCCTGCTTCTCCCTCTGCCTCTCTCTCTCTGTCTCTAATGAATGAATGAATAAATAAAATTAAAAAAAAAAAAAAGCAGAACTGAGGGCGCAGGAGAACATTCCAGAAAGAGGGAAAAATTTGAGCCAAGTTGGGAGGACATAGGTGGGAGGAGGGGGTGTATCTAGTTAACACTTGGGACCAGAAGATGGATGAAAGCGATGGTGGGGATAAGTGGGAGTGTTGTATGTCACCAAAGCCGTCAGAATTTCATTTGTCTAGACAGCTGAGGAAGGACCATAGGGGTGATTTGTTGCTGTGAATATTTCCAGGTTGCTGGGTTTTCTCTTAAAACCAGTCAGGCATTTAAAGACTTGGAGCATTGATATCCATAGAAATTTTAACTGGGGAATAGTTAGCTCCTAACAAGAATATTGGTTACATCCAAGGAAACATCCTTCAGGTCTCACTATCTAACAACGATGTGAAAAGACGTTTTAGCAAACATCATTACGAGGTTTCACTGAGGACAACTCAGAAGTGAGTTGATTAAGACTCTCTGAAGCCAAGGGGGCTGGCTTCTCAGGAACCTTCTATCTCCAAAACAATAACAATATAAAACTTCCTCTCTGAAGCTAAAATAGAAGAGGTAAAGAGATGCCTGCCCAGCAGGAAAAGCTTTACAGGCTCCTCTATACCATGATCTAAATTTAGACTCAAATCTGAGAACAGGAGTGCAGATCAAGTGTTTGTTTCCATTGTAAATTCCACATTCCCAGTTTGAATTTCCTTTAGTATCTCGTAGGATCTTTTCAAAGGCCCCCGTTCCCAGGCTGCATCTGCTCCCAGACTGTAGACACCCAGAGCTGTGTTTTCTGGCACAGGACCATAAAACAATTCCGGAAAGTTTGAGGAGATGAAAAATTTGGAAAGGAAGGTGGTTCCTTGACAGTGATAACATCAGCTCTGGGGAAGATTTTTTTTCCCATAGCACCCCCTACCCCTCACCCCAAACTGCTCTCGATCAGTCATTACAAGTTAATTCGGTTCATAACGGTCTAAAGCTGATTAAAGCTGAGTTCTGATTCTGTGCGGAGGCCTGGGCTTCCTTCTTATCATTTTCTTCCTTGCCACTCCTCTGTTTGTACCTTCCCTTTATCTTTTCCTCTCCGGCTAAAACAGAAAGTCTCAGCAGCATGTGTTATGTTTTGAAGGGGAGGATGGAATGGGGGGGTGGGATGTGTTGGCTGAGGGTGAAGGACGGTTGGGAATAGCACATGTTTCAACAATGAAACTTTTGAGAATTCCTGTCCCAGCTGTACATTTTCTTTCTTTCTGTACCCTCTGAGACAAGTGCTGTATTCTTCTGCACCCAGAAGTTA